AGTAAATCTTTTCTTCACGTGATTTCAATCCCTGTGTTATTGTTGTTGTTGTTGTTATTGCTCATCTTTGACCGGATCCTGAGATTTCAACCACCGCGCGAAATTCTTTGGGGGTATATATATTAGTGTCCTAAGGTATTGTATGTACTAGCTCTATTTATAAATCCAACATTATGTTTGTAACTCTTCATCTATGTATGCACTTTTCCTGAATAAATTTTTTTAATTTTAATTTTAAATTTTAAATTTTGCCCCGAGGGGCGAGTTTATTGGGCAGCGCCACTCATCTTGTGAGTGGACACACCGTCATAGCAGCAGGTACAACACTCCCCAATAGGAAGAAAACCCGCTGGGTTGTTCATCCTGTCTTTTTTAATCTAATTTAATTTAATATGCGTTCCCCACCCCCCATGTTCCCCAGGGTCCCCCCAGAACCATAAATTCCCCTCCCCCCCACCTTTCCCAAGTTTCTAGAATCTATTTCTGTTTTGAACATGGTGATTGTGTCGCCGGAAACCTAAATCATCCCATCCTCATCAACAAAGGCCAAATGCTAGTTAATCGAGCCGTCGAACACCCTGTTTAACACACGATTCTCAACTGATCACGTTCGAGCACCTCTCAGACAGCGCTTCGCTGACGACTTTTGTTCGAATCACAACGCTGTAAATGCTTCACCCACGTTCAATAAATACAAATAATCAGGTAAAGAATCTAAACACCTAACTATGCAGTAGATATAATTTTGATACACAATAATATTAATTTATAAATTGTAAAAATATTAATCCAGAAATGTTTTACAATCCACAAATTGTAAAACATTTATGAATGTTTTACAATTCAAGGCCGCTGCTTTAACGAACCTGTCCAGAGGACAACTTGCCACATCCTACGCCTCTAGTTGCGGCCTATAACGAAGACTTTCATCAAACGTAACGATCTGTGTAATAAACAAAAACAGCCTTTTTTTCCCAAATGAAAATGAATATGATCTTATGTTATTATTTTCTGTACACTTGGGACTAAGACAGGTTGGTGCTGTCGGTAAATATTTGCACTTGCGGTCCTGTAGCACAGTGGTCTATGCAATCAGTTCACAACCGTAAAGATTCCAAGTTACATTACCGCGGTAGGATAGAAACGTTTGGGCACGTTTCTATCACCTGGCTGTTATTTTAACCATAGGTACCCGGAGGTAATTAGGCACCTACTATGGGGTGCATTTCTGGGGGAAGATCAGCAGTTGGATTTTAAAACTACCTCGGACATAAGCCTGAAGTGTGTGTACATGAATATATTTTTATACTTATTTATTGCATTTTTTATATAAAAATTTGCCTTCATTCCGTTTGCAGCTGCTCAGTGATAGGCCATTTATTAAATTCATTGTATTATCAAACATCAATCACACCAGATATATTGAACATTGAAGCACATTAACGCAAAGCTAATAAAACAAAGTCACCTTTTTTATGGAGGTTGGACAGGTCTTTTGCCGGCTCAACTGATAAATGCCAGGAGAGGACAAATTGAAGAGATCAAGGATATCAACTGGCATTTAAGACATTGCAAAAAATATATATATATTGTGGCGACGCAATTTTGTGCAATTAATCCTGGTAATATATTTGTATGTATGTGGTTATTGTGTATGATGATATCGATTCAATATTTCTTTGGAATACCATGAGGAGTATTTGGTGATTATCTTGCTGTCTCAGGAGGGGGGGACCAGCTTGGAGGGGGGGGAGCTGGGGGTGGTGGTGGGACCAGCTGGGAGGGGGGGACCAGCTGGGGGTGGTGTGAGACCAGCTGGGAGAGGGGGTGGTGTGGGACCAGCTGGGAGGGGGGGGAGTGGTGGTGGGACCAGCTGGGAGGGGGGGGGGGAAGTGGTGGTGGGACCAGCTGGGGGAGCTGGTCAGTAACATCAGGTGGGCAAATGCCGGACGGGCGGAACCAGGAGGCAGGGGGGGGGGGAGAGGAGGGGTTCGAGCAGCAGCAGCAGGTTCAGTACACCACAGAGCAGCAAGGAGCGTCTGCCGGGTGGTGCTACATTATGACATTACTCAACTGTACGAACTGCCGCCTCCGCCGCCCGCCGAACTCCCTCCCAGTGGCTCGCCGCCCTCAAACAGGTTCCACATATTGCATTCTTTTGTTCGAGTCGCGCCCCATTACATTAACAAATAATGTTGCTTCCAGAGTGTCTTGTCGTTTTGATTAATGTAGAAGTTTTAAATTAATAAAAAAATGTCACTTCGATGAAGATAATTTTTCTAGGGCTTTGTCTTCTTCGGACGCGAAATATAGTCGCTGATTTGATTCTTCCTTTGACCTTGAAGTCTCAACATGGCCGCCTAGACTCGCACGTTGCTAACTCACAATTAACGTAAAATATACTTACCCTCTTCCCTTGAATTCCCAAATAACAAAGCAAATACGAACGATAAAACACGCGGGTTATTTCTCAGTTTTCTTCAACTGGTGTAAAGGAGGAGGACACGAGGTGGCCATGAATGGAAGAGGGCAGAGCGGTGGAGGCATCTGGCGGCGGGCGAGTGAAGCTGCCACAACAACAACATGCCGCTGGGGCAGTATTGCTGCTTTTTATCTCCAGCGATCTGGCTCAAGAGCGCAGCGTTACCAATGAATCACCCCGAGCGTCAACCTCTGGCCACCGTCCTGGCGGCATTATCTCCATTCCAAAATCCTTCTTATCAACCGTTTATTTTCTCCATCTTTACAAATATGACTCTTTAAGGGGCACTACTTTGACAATTAGTATCTTATCTTACACTTTTTTTTTATCCGATTTATTGGCACTGTTCTTATTTGTGGAGGGGTGAAGATGGAGACGTGTGTGGAGGGCCAGCCAGCCCTCAGAGTGACAGGCGCGCGTGAGTGTCACATGGGGCTCACGCGTCACGACCTTACCTTACCTTGACGGTAAGGTAACGAACGGTTACCTTACCTTGACGGTAAGGTAACGACGGCTCAAGTCATAAAGCAACTGGTTCAACAAGGCTAGTATGAGAGTTATAAAGAACTACATCTCACTTGCAGGTAGACACTGTTAGGTAAGCACACCCCAGATCAGTCAAGTTCATCCCACCCAGCCTCCCTTACTCCACCTGCCATCTCCTCCCTCCCTCCTAGCCTTCTATCCTGCCCCCTCCCATCCTCCTGCTCCCCACCCTCTCTCAATTACTCCTGCACACGGTGCCAGAGACCACAACAGCTTCTTCTTTGAGGAGCTGTTCACCTGACAGTTAAGCAAGTCCCAGCTGTGTCTGGGTACAAGAGACAGGATGAACAACCCAGCGAGTTTTCTTCCTATTGGGGAGTGTTGTACATGGCTGCTATGGCGGTGTGTTTATTGGCGCTGCCCAATAAACTCGCCCTTCGGGCAAAAAAAAAATTCAACAGCCAAGCTCAGTATTGGTAGCTACTTGGCTGACGTAATTGAACTGAAATGTGGAGTACCACAGAGGAGCTGCCTATCACCCACGTTTTTCAATATATTCACAACTGATTTTCCCCATCCTCCTCCTCCTCAAATAATCTGCCATCCAGGACAATCAAAGACGTTACTGGTCAAGAAACCCAAAGCGGCATTAGAAGTCATAAACGACTTTGAAAAGTAATTGAAAATAAATACCAATAAACCAAGTTCCAAACAATACATTTTGCAAAATGAAATCCTGAGCCAATTATCATTAACAACCACCCAATCCAACATATAAATGTATGTAGTATACTGGGTCTCAAGATTAATAGAATCAAAATGAACTTAAATGACAGAATAAGCAAAGCAAAAACAACCTTTGGCAAACTGAGAAGATTCCGTAGCCTCTGTACGAACATACAATTACTCATACAAGGCTCTAGTCCGGCCTCTAACCACTTGGGCTGGACAGTAGAGCGACGGACTCGCTTCCTGCAGGCCAGTGTTCAATCCCCGACCGTCCAAGTAATTATGCACCATTCCTTACCCCCCTCGTCCTGTCCCAAATCCTTATTCTGATCCCTCTCAAGTGCTCCACAGTCGTAATGGCTTGGTGCTTTCCCCTGATCCTCACACAGAGTTCGTGTGAGGAAGGCAGGCAGCCCTTCTGCTGTCATAATTCGCTCTATATTCCTCATTTCCAAAACTGTTTCCTTCACCTCTACTCCACTCAAAAAAAAAAAAAGTCCAAGCGCACCATGATTGCTACTACACACACATTGTATATAATAGTGACGATGTGTTTCCTCTGTCCGAGTTCTTTTTGGACTTTCAGTAAGTGGACGTATTTTGTGCCGATTTTGGACGCGTGTGTTAAATTTGGACTTGACCGGTGCTGGAGTTGAAGTGGCTCGGTGCGGCCTCCCACGGGACGTTTAATGCTCCCACGTCAATACCTTGATTGTTGCAATTAAATTTACGTCTAACGATATTCTGCGAACTGCCATATATTGTGGGGATGTCGCGTGACCACCTCAGAGCTCTGCTATTACTTCCATAACATATGGTTTGAAGTTTGCAGTTGTCGGGGTCAGAAAGGCTGTTAAGGCTTACTGAGAAGCCCACAGGCTAACTCCTGACCTTCGCCAGGATGCAACTCACAACAGCTGAATCGGTAAACAGAGGCATCTGATGGAAGGAAATGCTGACCAAACGCTTCTGTCCCTCCGCGGGAATCAAACCGGGAAAAGGTTGACAGATGGTCATCACTCTGGTCACCACCTGACATCAGTGACATCAGAGTCGTGACCACCTGACATCAGAGTCGTGACCACCTGACATTACAACTTCAGCGCATTGTGTAAACACATGACCTGAATGAAGTCGTAGTTGTGAAGTCAGGTTTGTCACCTGGCGGTTATGGTGCGCCAATACTGGCGTGATGGTGAACCATCACCATGCCACAACACCGTCACTGTTTATCTGCAGTTACCCCTAACCTCACATTATGTAGCCATCTAGTAACTCTTTGTTTTGTCTGTCTGTCCCACAGGTGATCCCCGGATGGACAAGTCGCCCCTGCTGGCCAACGGGTACCATGCCCCGCCCCACTTCAACCCCCTGCAGTACATGGCCCACCACATGGCCGGCCTGGGCTACCCACCTCTCCTACCAGGAGGCCTGCCCGGCGGGATGCCCGCAGGACCCGTAGGACCTCACCCCATCTCCCCTCCTGAAGCCTCGCCTCTCAAGCATCCTCAAATCACACCTGAGTCTCTGGCCAGGTATGTGCGGTATGTCAAGCGCAGTTTGTATTATTCTTAAGTTTAAGACAACACACATGTGTCATCGACGCTTGTATCAGACACATATTTGGAGATTTGGGGGATTTGGGATGGGACGGGAGGAAGGAATGGTACCCAACCACTTGGACGGTCGGGGATTGAACGCCGACCTCCATGAAGCCTGACCGTTGCTCTACCTTCCAGCCCAAGTGGTTGGAGAGACAAACAAGATCTTCCGGCACCTGACCGGAAGGCCTGACAGCTGAGTGGACAGCGCTCGGGATTCGTAGTCCTGAGGTTCCGGGTTCGATCCCCGGTGGAGGCGGAAACAAACGAACAGATTTTCTTTCGCCCTGATGCACTTCTTCAACTGCCCTGATGCACCTGTTCACCTAGCAGTAAATAGGTACCTGGGAGTTAGACAGCTGCTACGGGCTGCTTTCTGGGGGGTAACAAAAAAGGAGGTCTGATCAAAGACCGGGCCGCGGGGACGCTAAGCCCCGAAATCATCTCACGATAACCTCAGAAAGTGTATAATTATACAATGTGCATATAAGTTATACACTTCAAATACAAATTACTTAAAATCCAATGCGAATCAAGTGGATATAAATACATTCAATGTTTATTAAACAATTACAGAGCTTCTCTGTCTGTGATGTTGCTTGCAACATTTAATCTTGTCTATTATTCCCTAACATTACTGTCCAACCACTTGGGCTGGACGGTAGAGCGACGGTCTCGCTTCATGCAGGTCGGTGTTCAATCCCCGACCGTCCAAGTGGTTGGGCCACCATTCCTTCCCCCTGTTGTCATCCCAAATCCTTATCCTGATCCCTTCCAAGTGCTATATAGTCGTAATGGCTTGGCGCTTTCTCCTCATAACTCCCTCCCTCCCTAACATTGCTGCTGGCTCTGTACACTTCAATTATCAAAGAATAACGATTCTTCTTCTTAACGATTCTTCTTCTTAACGATTCTTCGCGGCAGGGGATCGTATTCCAGGGACCATAGGATTAAGGACTTGCCCGAAACGCTACGCGTACTAGTGGCTGTACAAGAATGTAACAACTCTTGTATATATCTCAAAAAAAAAAAAAATATAATCCTGCAGTACATTACAAATTTCAGCATCTTGACAATTGTGGCACCCGTTTATTGTTATAAACCTGCCCCCCCCCCCCCCTGCGTATGTATTAATTTAATTAAGAAGAAACTCCCATTACATACAAATTAGTAAAACAAATTATATAACTGATTAAAATTAATACAAAATACAGGCGGTATCTGCCACTCAATTATTTTAAGGCAATTTCGTAAAAGGTGTTAGTTTTGGTGTAGTTAAAATTATGTAAATAATGCTTTTAATTAATTGATATAATTGGTTATAATGAATAAACTGACATTAGGGAACGTTATACACAGTAATGGTGGTGTATATGAAACTATTTTTTTTTTTTTAACTTCAGGATGCATGAGGAACGTGTGGATCGCGAACGTCAGATGGCGCTGGACCAGCGACGGGGCCTCACGCCCACCAACATGCCCGGGCCCCACCACCCAATGCCGCCCACCTCCGCCCACGACGACCACCAGCCGCCCATTTCTCCCGTCCTCAACCTCTCCAAGGGCGCCGTCTCTGAAGAGGCACAGGAGGAGCGGGAGGACGAGCGGGACCACGACCTGGCTAGCCACGACTCCGGTCGCGACCTCCACGACCATGACCGCCGCCACGACCCTCATGACGACGATCGTCTCTCTGATATGGACGACGACGACGACAAGGAGGAGTGTAAGTGTCTTTGACTCTCATTAATCGATAAAGAAAAGGCATTTTCTTGTAATATTATATCGCGTGACAATGACGTTTCGTATATGCAAAATTGCGTTCCACGTGGACAGTAATACTAAAAAGCAATTTCTGCTCCGATTTGCAGCTATGGACGTGGCGGACGCGTGGACGCGCGCCTCCAGCACCTTAGGACAGACGCAGCTCACCTCTCCGCCAGCGCCTCCCGGAGCCCTGGCTAGCATGGGCGGCAACGCACCTCTCTCCTCCACGGAGGTCCTACTCAGGAATATTCTCGGCCTCCTTCGAGTGGCCGAAGAGAACGCCCGACACCACGAGAGGCAAACCCAGTGTGAGAAAGGTCAGCTCCAGTTCATCACTCGTCTCTAATGTTTTCTCTCAGATTTTTTTGGTCCTGTATTTCCTAACTTTTCTTGAATATTTTAAGATTGTTCCTGAATTTTCTCTATTGTTTTTCACATTTTTCTCTGTGTTATATATAGTTTGTTATGTTTTATTTGCTTCATAAACATTCTATTGTACACGACTGTTGTATTTAATATTTTTTTTTTTACAGCTGAATTGAAAATGGAAGTCTTACGAGAGCGTGAATTGAGGGAGACGCTGGAGAAGCAGCTGCAAGAGGAGCAGAAGAACCGGATACTGATGCAGAAGCGCTGCGCTAAGCTGAAGAAGCTGCGCCGTCGCCTACAAGAACGCCTCGACGTGGAGATGAAGAGAAGGAGTCGCTACGAGGACCACATCCGCTCCAACTCTCCCGACGCTCTGGGAGACATTAATGGTACGTGTAAGTGCAAATAATTTTTTGTGTACTGCCTTCCTCCGCCTCTGACATGGAAATAAGCTAAACTGGTTTACTGGTGACGGTGAAATATCTACGCAAGACCTTCATAGCTTATCTAATATGTTCTTTTCTGCTTTCAGATACCATACGAAAGGAGATGGAAGCGATCGCAGCTGAATTACAGAACGACGAACTCAAGCAGAGTCAGCAGCAGAAGGAAGAGCGCGAGGCTGTCGACCGCCTGCTGGCCTCTCCCGCCCTCGCCAACCACCCCGCCATCACAGCCGCCACCGCCAACACAGCGTGGCGGTAAAGCCAGTACCTTTGCACCCTTTATTACTCTCAGTATCAGGACTTAAGTGTCTTGCAAGTATCCATAGCAAGTCTTCACTGCAGCACTTGGCATTTTTGGAATCACCAGCAACAATTGTTGACAATTTTGCAAGGGTTTCACCTCAAATATCAGTGACCAGGACAATATGCCAGCGACGAACTGAGACAGTACTTCGCGGTACAGTTCACAGAAACTTGTGTATTATAATGGAGAAAGCAGAAATGCGAGCTGCACTCTGCACATTCTGTACATGAATCGGGTGCAGTAAGCAGAGGCGACATGTGTCTATAAACAGAGACACGTCGACAGACTTGTAGGGCAAGAAGCATTTAGCGATAATGCCCAACTTTGGTATGGAAATCAACATGGAGGTCGCTGGCAGCAGCAGCAGCAGCAGCGGAGGGTAGTTCCACCAGGAGCCAGACCCAGGAGCTGAAGTTTCTTGACGTGTTGCAGCAGGAAGTGTTGTACTGCTTTGCTTATATGGCATTTGATACTTAACTATGTACATAGATTTTTGTAGGAGATAAGTACAAGAAAATGACCATAAACTGTATCCATAAGCTAAGCGCGCGGATATCACATTAGAGATCAGCGAAGTCACGATCTGAAGGGAATGTGTAATAAAAGAAAACTTATGGTGCTGACGTCCCATCCTTGTTATCGTGACTGATGCAGACGAAGTCATCGCGAGTGGCGACCCAGCTAGGAGCTGAGCACAATAGTTGCAAAAAAAACTCCAATAAACCGAGAAGCACACACACATGATCTCAGGTGCTACACATGAGAGTACGGTCGGGGGCAGCATCTTCCCACCAGCGCCTCCCTTAGACGCCAGTTTCCTTTCCACCTGGTGATGGTGGCGAGGACCTGACAGCGGGAGCCTCCTTCATCCCCCAGCAAGAGATCTTGAACAAGCGCAAAGGTCAGTGGATGCCACACTGACGACGGCGGGTGAGCCTGTGGGCGTTACCTCAGACTACAGCAGCGGAGGTGTGGACGCCTCCCCCTGCTGCACGCCCCTCACCCCCTCTCTCTCTCCCCCACCAGTCTTCCCGCTCCCCAGGTGCCATAGTCACCGATACAAGACTTCTCTATGGAAACTAGACCAGGGAATTACACAAACACGACTTTTTATACTATTTAAAGTGTATTTATTGTATATTGAGTGTAGTTACGGCTTGTGTGCCATGCGGAAATGTCCGCATGAATTGTATGAGTGTAGTTAATGTAATCCTGAAAGTGTTCATCAGTGAAAAGGGATCGTATTCCTTATTATTTATATTGCCGGTAGAGTCAGATTTCTTTGAAAAGGAATCGGGCAACCTAGGTATGACGCTCGTCCCTATTTCGCTGTATGTATTCGCGTGAGCGGTGGTGCACATCCGGGTGTTTTATAAAGGTATCCCAAACACTGGACTTGCTCGTTTAGTCAAGTCACTCTGACGAAACCATCCGCTGTAAAATGCTCACAGAAGGTGTCATCGGCCTACAGCCTAAGTCTAAACGCCAATTAACATATCATGGAAAAAAATGATCACAATGTCTGCACAACCGGATGTCTAGAAGTTGCAATATTTGGGGACTGAATTGATGTATAGAGTTTTGTCACATTTTGCAACGCATTGAATTTGTGAGGTTACGACCGATGCCTGTATATCTGCCATGCTGTGACATAGCAAGTCCTACAGGCAGTGTTGTAAATTAAATTATATATATATATATATATATATATATATATATATATATATATATATATATATATATATATATATATATATATATATAATCAACTAGGCATTGTAAGATTTGTAAATATGACAAAACGTGTAGTTAAGGGCATTAATCCAATATTAAGTATAGGTTCAGTAGTCATTACAATAGATTGTAAGTTAACAGCTTAAAATATGTGGCATCACCCTCCCCCCCTCCCTTATCTAGTGCCAATGACAACCTGCTTTGGTAGTACCTACGATAGACGAAGCTTAGATGAAGCAGTAGAAGACATCTTGGAGCGGGGCGTCTCAGCAAGTAGGACTGCTGGGTCCCTCTGTCCCCCCCCCCCTCTCTATCTCTCTCCATACCCCCATTCCACCCCCCCCCCCCCTTTCCACAATCCCACCTCTCTCGTCTTGATCTAGCACCCTATGTGAGGAGGCCCCCTGCATCTGGCGCACCGAGCTACAGGAAGTTAAATTTCAGGTGGAAATGAATCCAGGCTGTGGATTTTTTTTTTGTGTGTATCGAATACAGAGTGTGATTGATGCCTCGTTCTGACCAGAAGCCCCCAGGATGTTGCCGTACTTGTACCAGTGAGCCTTGAGGCTCCACACGACATGACTAGGATGGTGTTGTAGCCACTTGAGACATTGTACCAGGGCTGTACCAGGGTTGTACCAGGGTTCCACTATGGTTGGGCAAGTGTTCCACCAGGGTTGGACAATGGTTGTACCATGATGCTACAAGGGTTGTCCCATGGTTACACCAAGGTTGTCCCATGGTTACACCAAGGTTGTCCCATGGTTACACCAAGGTTGTCCCATGGTTACACCAAGGTTGTCCCATGGTTACACCAAGGTTGTCCCATGGTTACACCAAGGTTGTCCCATGGTTACACCAAGGTTGTCCCATGGTTACACCAAGGTTGTCCCATGGTTACACCAAGGTTGTCCCATGGTTACACCAAGGTTGTCCCATGGTTACACCAAGGTTGTCCCATGGTTACACCAAGGTTGTCCCATGGTTACACCAAGGTTGTACCATGGTTACACCAAGGTTGTACCATGGTGGGTAGCTGGAAAGGGAGGCCAGGAGACGTGCTGCGGCAGCTGTACCACAGCACCACTGTACCACACCCTTGACCACCTACACCTGGCTACCCCCCCTACCATTACAGCATCTGGTATTCATGCCTTGTAACAAAAGTAACATTGCTGTATCCAATAACTTAAAAACAAATTGAGTGTTTCTCTAATTTTTATGTTGTTTCACTAAATAAAGCAAAAGTTGCTCCCAGTTTTTTATTATTCTTTTTTGGCGTGAGAGTTTATGTAGACACGGATGAGTTAAGTGAGTAAAGCTAGCCCCCCCCCCCCTTCCCTATTCCCTATTCTTCATCTCCGTGAGTAATAAAATGTACCACTTATACATGTGGCACAAATGAGTTAAGTGAGTAAAGCTAGCCCCCCCCCCCTTCCCTATTCCCTATTCTTCATCTCCGTGAGTAATAAAATGTACCACTTATATATTTGTTCTGTGTTCCACTAGACTTCAAAATTAGAATTAGAAGTCAAATCCTTCTAATTCTGATGTACTTAGCAGTTGTAGGACGCTGCTTATTCGCAAGGCCAAATTGACCCTTATGTGGTGACTCGCAAGGGCCAATTTGGAATGTATTTTATATACTAATATATATATATGTATATATATATATATATATATATATATATATATATATATATATATATATATATATATATATATATATATATATATATATGTGTGTGTGTGTGTGTGTGTGTGTGTGTGTGTGTGTGTGTGTCATTTCGAACAGGAATACGATTAATACGAACAACTTGTTTAATTAAAATATTTACTCTTCAATTAAAACCATAACGTTTCGACTAATTAGTATTCATCATTAGATCTAAGATACATAAAAATTAAATTAACATTAACAGTTAACAAAGAACTTACACTGAAAACATCATTAAATTCATAAGAGACAAATATGAAACTAATTAAAAATAAAAGAAACGAAAAATAATACCAAAGTTATCTTACGTAATGTTCAAAGAAAATAAGATTTGATAACAGTCAACAGTGACACAATAAGGACGAAAAAAAAAATAATTAAGATGCTAAAAAATCGGATGCCACGCGTCATAACATCCGGGAAACCTATGAGATGATGTACACATGCCCACATACTTATCCTCCCCTCTTACCTACATGACACACAACATCCCTTACATTTTACCCCTGTGACCCAAAACGTCCCCCTGGACGCAACCCGTCCCATTCTACGGACTCCCACACCACTTTTGACTATGACCGAGTTCAATCCCTGAGGTTCTCCTCAGGTTTGGGACGGTCGTAGTCCTCATTTACACTACTACAAGATTCAATGCAAGACACAAATCAATCATTACCGAATTACCCATGTCTCACATTATACAAGAACACAAATATTATTAAATAATAGACACCCAATTGTTATATTCAGTATCACAATTAAACGTAAAATTATAAAGCATATTCTACTTGTACAAAAAAACAGCAAAAACACAACTGAAGGGAAATTAAACAATTAAAGAATATAATGACACGTCAATGCATCATAACAGGAACAAATACTTGGTGAAATTTGACATAGTAAATAATGGAGAGCTGAAGCATTATTGTACAAGAGGCCTCAGCTCCCTCATATATAAAGACTCCATAATTCCCAGGTCAGACTCCCCCCCCCCCCAAACCACAAGAGTCCAAAATTTTAAAGTCTGACTCATGTAAACACTGACCACTCTCATGACTGATTCCTAACGTCTGAGAAAGCCTTCATTAATGGCAGACGAGTCTTAAAAGATGTTGACCAAACCACACACAAGAAGGTGAAGGGACGACGGCGTTTCGGTCCGTCCTGGACCATTCTCAAGTCGATTGTGGACTTGAGAACGTCCACAATCGACTTGAGAATGGTCCAAGACGGACCGAAACGTCGTCGTTCCTCCACCTTCTAGTGTGTGGTCTGGTCAACTTACTTCAGCCACGTTATTGTGACTCATCGCCTGCAGTCTTAAAAGACATTTCCCTGTGCTCCTGTTTCTTAATCTTGCAGTTGCGAGTTCAACTTCCCACATATATCCCGCGTTGAAGCTGCAATACAGCTGCAAAGTTTCTAATAGTGAATAACAATATCAAAAAGGCATAGAGAACCTGAAAGCCATTGTTATGAGTTTCAGGTGAACCCGTCCTCATAATACCACGTCGCATTTTGACGTATACTCCACCTAAGGCCAAACACCGTCTTACTAGAAAATGGCAGCGGCTCGCGAAATTGACATAATGTCCCGTTTTCTGTTCGTGGGTCCTCTGGTAGGCTAGGATAGGGCACTTTAGTACGACAGTTTCTTGACGTTTGGGAACGCTGGCGAGAACGGACTGTTCTGGTACCTCAGGGAGAGAAAGGTGGGTAGTTTGTGCTACTTAGGTAACAAGACTTACATTCAAGAAACAAGAACTTCATACCGCTGCCCCAAGCGTATGTAGCGTTCAATTCGCGTTCGAAGCGAAGCGTTCAATTGCATTTCTATTTGCATACGCAAAGAAATCACAAGAAAAGGCCCATGATTTCTTAGTACCACTGCACATTGCACACGTTAATCTGTCACAGTGCAGGCGATGAGTCACAATAACGTGGCTAAAGTATGTTGACCAGACCACACACTAGAAGGTGAAGGGACGCCGACGTTTCGGTCCGTCCTGGACCATTCTCAAGTCGATTGGTCTATTCTCATGAGAATGATCCAGGACGGACTGAAACGTCATCGTCCTTTCACCTTCTAGTGTGTCGTCTGGTCAACAATCTGTCACAGGATTAACTTGATGTGTCAAATTGCATTTCTGTTCTCTGGAACCCTAGAATTAAGTGCATAGAATTAAAAAACAAATCTAGTGATAAAATCCAGCGATAATTTTTCACATCCAGTCTTTTAGAGCGATTATTTTGTTTTTCTAAAGTTAAACTTGAAGGTTTTGGCGGGGAAAGGTAAGGAAGTTGCCTCCTTGGGGCGCTTCTTAAGCACATTGGACAACCCGTTCTCGCACTTTCGTATAGTCAATATTGACTTATTAAATACGTGCATATGTGACATACTAAACATACTAGTTTACCTTGAAAAGCTTCATAGAAAACACCGACCTTACCTAACCTTCTTAGTATGTTAAGATAAGCATCTTATTGCTTCGTAATTACAATTATTACTTAACCTATTATAGGTATAGGTATTATTATACCTATATATTATTATTATTATACCTATATTATTATATTATTACACTATATATTATTATTATACCTATTATAGGTATAGGTTAAGTATTAATTGTAATTACGAAGCAATAAGATGCTTATCTTAACATACTAGGAAGGTTAGGTAAGGTCGGTGTTTTCTACGAAGCTTTTCAAGGTAAACTAGTATGATAAGTATGTCACATATGCACGTATTTAATAAGTCAATATTGACTGTAAGAAAGTGCGAGAACGGGTTGCACTGGAAGCGAGAGAACAAAAAACAAAGAACCCAAACCAAAAAGAATAACACTGAATACTAGGATAGCATGGGGAAAACTACAGTAAACTTGGGATAACTAGGGATTATTGTAGATAACTAGGGATTATTGTAGATAACTAGGGATTATTGTAGATAGCTAGGGATTATTGTGGATAACTAGGGATTATTGTGGATAACTAGGGATTATTGTAGATAACTAGGGATTATTGTAGATAACTAGGGATTATTGTAGATAACTAGGGATTATTGTAGATAACTAGGGATTATTGTGGATAACTAGGGATTATTGTAGATAACTAGGGATTATTGTAGATAACTAGGGATTATTGTAGATAACTAGAGATTATTGTAGATAACTAGGGATTATTGTAGATAACTAGGGTTTATTGTAGATAACTAGGGATTATTGTAGATAGCTAGGGATTATTGTG